GCGCCCAATGTGTGAATGGAGGTTTCTCCCCCGAAAATGGCTTCAAATACGGGCCTGGGAGATCAGATTAGGGTTCCGCGCCCGGCGCGTAAGTCTTGGCGCCCGGCGCGAAGCCTTCCCAACAAACTTTCTGCCTTAAGACACGCGCCCGGCGCAATTCATATTGCGCCCGGCGCATTGGCTTCCAGAGACGAAATACTCTGCTTTGCTCGCCCGGCGCGGGTCTTATTGCGCCCGGCGCAACACCTCTTCTCTGCTCCTTAGCCTCTTTGGTTTCCAATCCTATGGGTCTTCAAATCCTCAAGTCTCTAGCTCAATACCTGCACAAAAAATGAGATGTATTATGGTATTGTTAGCTAAATTTGGGTTAGTTATATCTGCACACAAAATGTATTATATATTTATAACGGTCCAGATATACCAAAATGATAAAGATCCAAAAATAATATAAGTATGAGATTATTAGATAGTTGAGAATGACTTAAATGAATTAATTTGTACTACTTATACTAACAACATATGGATTTGCTTTTCGGTAGCTTATCTCATAAGAACTTCACAGTTAAGCGTGCTTGACTTGGAGTAATGTAGGGATGGGTGACCTTCTGGGAAGTTTCCAAAAATTGTGTAATTAAGGACAAAACATGCTAAAAACTTAAGTATTGTAAAATAAAATCCTTAAGAGGCCAAATATGAGTGGTTCATAGCAACCAAATTTGCGACGTCTATAAAATTTAATAAAATAAAAAATAAATATTTAGCGATCGATTTATTCGGTCACTAATTTGGTCTCATACACTTCAGCGACCAAAATCATTTCAACCATTTAGTGACCGAAATTTTTGGTCGCTAAATAGAGACCGAAAATTTTTCAGTCGCTAAATAGCTTAGCGACTAGGGTTTTAGCGACTGATTAAATTCGGTCGCTAATTCGGTCACTAAGGTAAATAGCGACCGATTTTTTGCAATTTAGCGACCGATTTTGGTGGTCGCTAAATTGCATATTTTTTGTAGTGACATTTTTCATTGACCATTACACTGACTAACTAGGACTTGTGTTAATTTTATTATTGCATTGATTAGGTAAGACTTATTTTTCATTGAGAAATGGATCACATTTATGTATAACATGTATTTAAAACACTTTTGATTATATATATGGTTGACATTTACCATCTTTTCTCATTTGTATGCAATTTGGTCCATTAAGAAGTAACATAGAAGATATAGACATTTTGAGTGGAATCTCCATCCCAAGAGAGATATTTGTGGTCATAGCAAACAAGAACACAAAAAACTCATTATTAATATAACCATTGTCCCTCCCCAAAATTAAGAGTGTAGTGGTGTAGGAAAGTAAAAAAGAAATCACAAAATGTGTTATGTAGTCTCATAGCAAATGGTTGTAGGGTTGTTTTTGTTGCGCACCGGGGGGGTTACCACACATATACACATGTTTCCACATTGGTGAGATATTGTCCGATTTGGGCCCAAGCCCTCACAGTTTTGCTTTTGGACATCACCCAAAAGGCCTCTCAATCAATGGAGACAAGTGTGTGTATATAAACCAATGTCCATCCTCTTGTTTGAACGATATGGGACTTTGCTTGCATCCGAACAATCCTCCCCTCTCAGAGTGCTTGCACCGCTGCTCCATCATGACCTCTCTCATAACAGCGGGACACGCCTCCTAACCCTTCATGTTACTAGGAAGCCTCTCTTCCACATGGACCTACCGTTAGGAAGACTTTCGACACAAGAGATCGTAAACTTGGATCCACCTGCCAACCATCATACTCGTCGAGCCGGTCACCTCAGACCATCGACTCTGATACCACTTGTTGAGCACCGAGGGGGTACCACACATATACACATGTCTCCACATTGGTGAGATATTGTTCTCTTTGGGCCCAAGCCCTCACGATTTTGCTTTTGGATATCATCTAAAAGGTCTCTCAACCAATGGAGACAAGTGTGTGTATATAAACTCATGTCCATCTTCTTGTTTGAACGATGTGGGACTTTGCATGCATCTCAACAGTTTTCTCAACAGGTAGTTGAGTGAGGGAATCTTAGAAGGTAGATAAGTGTTTTGCAACTAGTAGGAAGTAGTTGTGTAGTGGTGTTTTGTATCAATAGATGGTTAAGTTCTTGAATAGCAATTGGTTGTGACTTAGTGAAAATCTCACAAGGTTGTGTAAGGACTAGATGTAACCTAGTTGAGATAAACCAATATAAATCTTGTGTTCAATCTCTCTTTCCTTATCTCCTTACTTGTTTATTTAACTTACTACTTTCATTATTATACTACTAGATAATTTGAATCATAACCAAGTAAACTCAGAAACTGTTTTCAAAATATATATTCAATTCCAACACTATATAGATTGGTCTTCTGATTAATAAAAATATTTAAAAAATATATATTTTTTAAAATAAATAACAATTCAACCTCATTCTTGTATTCTAACATTTACTTCAATATTTACTATATAATAAGTTTTTTTTTATATGACATTTTTTCTATTTCATTTCAGTTTTCATCTATTGCTTTATTGCCTATTGTTGGTGTTGTCCTTGGTTCAACTCTTAACAAATATCAAGTATGTTATTTTATTATTTAAGACTTACATTATGTGGATTGAGAATTGTGAATTGAATTTTGGTTTGTTGGTACTTGTGAATTGAACTAAGAATTATACTTTGACTTGTTACTTTATAATTTATTGTGGGAACTATAAACTTAATAAGTAAATTTATTTAATTTTGAATATTGCAGTCATGAACGTTGATGATATTTTTGAGAGTATGAAAAATGATTTAGATACAAGGAAAACTTCACCTAATACAAAGAGAGAGTCTATCCTTGTTGCTAATCTTTCTATTACTACTATTGGTAATAAAAGCAAGAATAGCAGGGTGATCAATAACCAAACAGAGATGATGACTTTTGTAATTAACTTGTAGCGATAGTGTTTTATGACTCCACAAAAATAACTATTCATATTTCTGTCATATATGAAGTTTAAAGAGACTTCACTATTCACCAACACCAAGAAAATCATAAAAAGGAACTTGTTTATGACCACTATCCTTTAGCTCATCCTCTGGGGAAGAAGAAGCCCCTTCTTCAAGGTTTGAATCTTCATCAAAACTTTTCTTCTTTGAATCCTTCCTCTGCATCCATGCCATTAGAAGGTTACATTGATTCTTAACAGCAACATCGGTTCGACCAGGAAATTGCTTGGCTATTTTTGGCCACCTGCTTCCATAAACATCGTGAGCCGCAAGTAGTCTCTCATTTTCCTCTTCTGAAAATGGCGTTTTCTTAAGTTCTGGATCAAGGTGATTGAACCACCTTAATCTGCAGCTTTTACCTGGATAATTGAAAGTGATAAAAACCCACAAAATACATTCAAATGAGAAAAAAAAATGTTATGTACAGTACAATGATTCAATCACAAAACTATCATTTATGTCAAATTTGTTAATTCTTACAAATTTATCTTAAAATTCATATCTATAATGATTTTTAATTGATTGATAATGTAAACTGATAATGTACGTATGTGGGTACATATAAACTCAAAACAAATATAAAAAATATGAAGTATTATTGTTACTTCTATTGTAATCTTTCTCTAGTTAAAATAAAACCCTTTTTTTATTATATAAAATATTCATTGCTGTAAAAATAAAGATTAATCTTTGTTATAGATCATAAACACATAAAATAGATATATTTTTCCTAAGTGTACTTCATACTAAAGTACTAATAATATGATTAATTATGTATATTAATTTTCTATGCTAAAGTAATCCTCTTAGTACAACTTATTATACTTTTAACATAAATCCACAATGATGTTTATATTATATAATATTTTAATTTCAATTAAACAACGACGTCAAAACTAATTAATAAAATAATTAATGGAAGCAAAGAGAGTTTATCCATTAGTGTATGATTTTTTTTTTCACATAAGAAATATCTAATATATATGATTAAACTTACTCAAACTGAGATGAATTTTATGCAATTAATAAATAAAAGATAGGATATACAGTAAGAACTTGAAAAATAAGAATTGGACATATGCCAACTAAATAATAATACACAAGTTGATTATGATTACATATAAATAAAATCAATCTTTACTACTCATATAGTTCTCTAGTTAAGATTTATTTTTCTCATTTTTAAAAAATTGTTCCAATTAATTAATTATTTTCTGCCTGTCTAATAACAAATTATTATAATTTTTCATGTTATAACTAATATGCCACTAGATATCATTGATAGATAACCTGATCTAGTACTCAAGTTAGATCTTGATGCAATACTATTCACAGAATAAAAAAAAAAACTTTGATATCTCGGCCATAACATGACCAACTTTATTTTTATAAGGGAAAGATACATAATCCAACTATTAGATTCATAGACATACATACCTGTTCTTCCTTCAATATTCTTCGCAATTAAATCCCAGTCATGGGGACCACGTTGTCGAACAAGTTCACGTAGCATTTTATCCTCAGCATGATTCCAATGATGACATCGTCGGGAACACTTATTGGTCATGCTCTCATTATAATTAGCTGCTGAAGAATCTGTCATAGTGGACTAAACTCTTGAAAATGAAGCGCAGCAAAGACAAGTCCTAAAGAAGATGAAAGTGGAGAGAGAGAAACAATTATATATAGAGAGAGAGAACCTGGTTTAGGGTTTTGGAATAAATGCAAGTTTAGTTGTCTTCAAATGATATCCTTCCAATGTATGTCTGCCATTGCTTATTAAATATTCAAAATTTTCTAAATTAAACTTTCCTTTATTGTTATCAAAAATCTATGTATGTATTTTATGATCATTTTTAAAGTAGCCCCAACTATTCTAGTTCTGGAATTACCACAGCAACACGTTATTTCAATTCCACCAGTTTGGTTATTTTATGGTTGTAAGTAAAGGGACGTTTCTGGTCTTGATGAAAGAATGGTTGATTTTCCTCGTATGCTAAGTTTACAGGTAAAATGAGCACACATTCAATGCTTTTGGAGGAAAAAAAAACAACAAAAGCGGAAACTGATGGTTTTGTAATATTGCATGAAGGGTTAGGGTGGTATGATTCTTTTGCATTAATAATTTATTTTTTACTGTATGTGGACTGGTATGGTTAGGAAGTTATCAAAATCCGTTTGTTTTTGTCTTTTCTAATTTGGAATGAAATTTGTTTGCAGAATGTCTTGATTTGATTTTGTTGGTCATTTTTGACATTTCTTGGGTAATTTTTGGCTATCTATTTTCGAAATAAATGACTTTCATAAAAATAAAATGTCTGAGCTCATATGTAGAATCTTAAATTTTCTGAGGGATAGCAAAAAGATTTAGATGTAATTTATGGATTATCTTATTAGAAAATAAAAATTATTCAAATCATTCATACTTTATATATACAAAAAATATATATTAATTTTTAACTCAAACATAGTATACATAATTTTATTTTATATATCTCAAATCCGGTAATATCTAGCTAAAAGCAGAAAACTCCTTATTTCCCTCAAGTTCGAGATTTCCCACTTAAGAACAATTTCTACGTACTTTAGAAAGTTTAATAGTTATACCCCCTTTAAAGATCACATGACCAAAGTTGTTTGACCTTAAGGGCTTATAACATAAAGTATTTTTTATATTATTTTATCTCAATCACCGAAATTATGTTCGATCAGTTCTTGATCAACTTGATCAAGTTCTGTTATTTTTTACAGAAATATAATAGTATTTTTTTAAAAATCACTTCTAACTCAACCTATGTATTCTTTTAAAAATTCTCAGTCCTTTTTAAGGTTCAAGTACCAAATTAACTTTTATTCTTTCGATCTATTAAGGAATAACATAGAAATAGATGATATAATCATCAAACATAATAAATGAAATATGTAATGTATTCATCTTAGACAAACGAAAGTATTCTATTTGAGAGAGTTGTCAAAAAAGACATATCATCACAACCAATCATCTTAAGCTATCTTTGTTTGTACGATCTTAAAAGTAGTTCTTTATAATAAAAAATTGAGTTTGTTATCATTAAAACATACATTCCTAAGGGATATAAAATCATCCTTTGATCTAACAATAGGACATTGGTAAATCTACTAATAGTTGATAGCCTGCTTGGTCTCTAGTTGCAAGTCATTAATAAACTTCACACGTTTTGATTGCTCATTGTCAACACCATTGTAGCAGGGACAAAAAAAAACCAACGGCTCAAACATAGCGATGTACTCTATCATCATGTAGTCACCCTACTTCAACCCTAGGAACTCTATCTCTTTCTTGTTCTTCGCATCTTGAGGGAAATACTTTTCTAGGAAAATCTTTTTGAAGTTATCCTAGTTGACCAAAATTTCTTTTACAATGATCCTCCACAAAGTGTTCTACACCACTAGAACCCATCATCTCTAGATAACTTGAAGGTAGCAAGTATAAATTTTGAGCATTAGGGTACTCCGTTGGCTGGAAAGACATTCTCCACATCAAAGATACACTATATAACCCATCTAGATCACATCCACCTCTGAAGGTAGGCAGATTAATATGCTAAAGCCTAGATAGCTAGTTGGTCCCAACAACATTTGCATTTCCTAACACATATGAGCTATTCTTTTAATGCATCAACTAACGCCCAATCGTTCCTTACCACCATAACTTTTCTTATTCAAAGAAAAGTGCACAAGGTTGAAAACAACATAAACATCATAAAACTTAGAGTACATAAAGAAACATGTTGAACACACATAACACACTGACCGGATGAATTAACTTGCTCTAATACCACTAAATTTGACACATGTCTACCCCACAGCATAATTAATAAAGCTTTTAAAAATAAAAAGCAATCAAATTATAAAATATTTAAAAGACATCTTTTAAGTAAAAGAGTTCACAATTCTTTAAATAAAAAACTCTTTAATAAGAATATTTAAATAAATCTCAACATAATTCGAAAAACAAGGAACAAATTGTCTATTTACACAAAGCTCCAACATTAAAACACAAAATGTCATAAGGTAAAATAAATTACATTTATAACTAAGAAATGCATAAAACTCTCTAGCTTCGATGTCACACTATTAGAGCTAGATCATGGAATAAAAATCAAAGCACTAAGTTTCTTCTCCATCAAACCCATCCTCATGCACTTGTTCTACTTCTACTATGACGATTAATCCAACTAAAACACAACACAAAAGCAAGCAGTGAGAATATGTCTCATTCATTATAGCACATATAAGACATAAGGATAGAACTAACACATGTATATCCATAATCGTTATCAATATAAAACATTGGTTATTCCAAGTACATCTATCATCAACATCCATACAGTTAATCCCACAAATATCAATTGTTATTTAAAGAATCATGTTATGCATGCCCTTAACTCTACATGCATGTACGGTACCAATCTCATCATCACCATCATAGGGTAGCCTATGAATCATGGACCAGATCATTACACATTAGGTGACCCTCTCAATCCACTCTCAACCAGAGGATATCTACCAAGATCTAATGGAAATGTTATAGTCAATCATGGTTACCTCACATTATTGTAAGAGGCTCCCAATCATAACACTCCTAAGGTCTATATAGTTTACCATAGAAACCCTTCTACATAGATTCACATCACCTCCCTAAAGAAAAGTGTGCAACTAATTAATGCATGTAATTAACAAATAAAACAACATCATAAACATCAAGCAAATGCAAAAATTTAACCAACTTGATGATTCTGCCAAACTGTAGAGTCTAGACTTTTCCATAGTAGACTAAGCTCTGCTTGGATTTCATCATTGTCAATCGTAGCCTGGACTTACAAATCTTATTAACATCACCATACCTAATCATCATCACACATGATCATAATATCATCCTCATATATTTACAAAACATAGTATCACACACTTAAACTCAAACACTTATATAATCCTTCTTCATATCTTTATTTCTTGATTTTATCACGAGTACTAAATTCATTATTTTATTGTTTTAATCGCACATTAAGTACTCCTCACATGCTTCTCCACTACTAACTTACCCTTATACACTAAACCAATTTCCATAGTAGCATGGCACTTGATGAGCTAGAAATCACACCAAACATAGAGAGATCAAGGATCTTTCTACCAGATTCATGCTCGGCATGTTGGTGCCCACACCTAGTGTGGAGAGATCAGGGACTTCTCTACCTAAATAGTGCCTGGTGTGGATACTCCCAAGCCTAGCACTAAGTATTTAGGGACCCTTTTGAAACAAAATCGCTCAGCATGTGATCCAGGTCACACATGACATCATCTATTTTCAAGGAATTCATCAAAACGACACCAAACATGACATCATCCAGGTCACACATGACACCACATGTGGCTCATTGCTCCCTTATGATGTTTATATATTCTAGTGGCAATGGTGATCCATCTATAAATATCTGTTAAGAAAAATTAGAAATTAGTAATATTTCATAAAATATAAAAGGAGAATTTAAAATAAAAACTTTCAAATTTGTAAAACTTACTTCAGTCCGCCTAGATATTATTTGTGAGTCGACAATAGTATGAATTGTCTTCGTTACAAACAAATGCACGCAACAATATTGTCCATAGGACAAGGCAAATAACCAGAAAAGTAAGGGACTAAGCTTGTTTTTCTTCCACTTTGTTCTTGCTTTTCTAGATTGACTCAGGTCCCAAAAATCCATGTATATGTGATCATTCCCCTTATCCACACTCAATTTATGGATAATAAATCTACAAGGTTAGAAATAAAGTTAGAAAAATCTATTAAAAGAAATAATATTATACTACATTATAATAAAACAACATCAAGTTAAAATAAATATTAATTAAATAACATACCTCCATAGATATCACCTTCACTAACCTATGAGGCCATTAAAGGAAGGCGTTCAAGACCTGCCCATTGTTTGAACCTTCTGTGTGAGCACAAGAACTCTAACCTTTAGGTGTCGAACATGCAACACTGAAACCTTAACTATATCATCTCCCATGGTCTGATAGTGTATAGTGGACCCCAACATGTGAGTCCTCCCTATTCCCACGGGATCGATTGATCCATCGACGAACAATTCACACCAATTAGATGTACCAATGTTAGTGGCAGTAACAGAGGGATTAGTAGTTGGACATGATTCCCTTTGTACTCACACGTGCAACAATTGGTTCAATTAGTGGACTACTCTATAGAAACTGTTGGCTAAGTGACTACATATGCTCTTCTAGTTGCCTTTGCATGTTCTTTTGTAGCTGCCTATGAATCTCCTCTTTCATCTGACTAAATTTGTCTCATAAGTTGTTATAACCTTAAACATCTTTAGTTCCACCAACTGGTCCACTATGCTAGATGACTATGAAGATGATTATGGTCCAAAGAAAGTCCATAGGCTATGACCTCCACCAACAGCCTGAACCTGACCTAGGTGCTCAGACTTCCCAATGACAATAGTGAGTATATCTTGTCGTCTATGGATAACAAAAGATCCCTCTATGAACTGTTGTTTCAGTATATCTTGCAATACACGACACAAAAACAATTTAATA